CTCCGAGTCGGAACTGGATGGCGTTGCTGTGCGCGCCCGCGTAGGTCCGGAAATGCTCTAAGGAGGAGTAGAACTCCCAGCGGAGCTCCTGATACATCGGCTCAGCGAGGCAAAGGAGGCGGCGCCAAGAGTAGGCGCGGATGGCAGCCTCCATTGCCTCGCGAGCACCCAGCTCCTCGAAAACCCTCCAATCCAGGTAATGGTGCTGAACGACTTTACGGCGTCGGATGTCCCGCAGAGTCTTCCTCTGGGTGGCGTCGAGCATGTTCAAGTAAGTATTCATTTTTCTGCAGCCACAAAACAGCAGAAACCCAACAACATACATGGAAATTCGTCAATGGTGAGGTCACAATCATCCTCACCCGGGGCCCTCGAATCATAAATTCGGACAGTGGACTAGGCCCCAGGAAAGGAAAAACATTCACAACCAATCAGAACCATTCACCATTCACACAAACTCAAACGCACTTGGAGCCCTCGGATCATACACCCGGACAGCAAATTAGGCTCCAAGCGGGGCAACCACAACTCATGTTACTCGGTAGGCCAACCAAAGGATGAACAAACAAAGCAAGCAATACCGGAGGCCTACCGAATTAATTAAAGCACAAACCAATCCCCGAATTTCCTCACTAAACCCACAATATCAATCCTCCACAAATGACAAGTAAAAATAGAGAAGCACACCTGGAGGCACAAGAAGATATCGTGGGGAAGGTGAGGGAAGAGCGAGAGAGCACGAAAATCGCCGGGAAGCTCGCCGGAGTGTCGTCGCCGGCGACTTCACCAGAGCCAAACTGACCCAAAACTTTGGGGAATGAGGCCCCGGGTACCAGGAACGCTGTGGTGGTCGCGGTTTCTCGATTGGAGGTCGGAGGAGAGAGATCGGGCCGGAGGAACACCGAAGGGTCGCGGTTTTCCGGCGACCCAAACCACCGCCAAACTCAACCCCACTGGTATAGACTTGTGGGCGCCGACGAGACGAGCACGGGGGTGGTCTCGGAATTCAATTTGGAGCTCCGATGAATGAGATATGGCCGGAAAACCACCGGAGAAGAGGGTGGGGCGATTTTCCGGTGAGAAAAAGAGAGAGTTTGACCAGAAAAAATTGAGGAGAGAGAGAGAGAGTCTCGGCCGAGCGGGTTTTAAAAAAATTTTCGGGGGTAATTACGGGCACGATTACGGCCGTAATCCCCCTTGGCATGCCCGTAATTTCTATGCCGAGAGCATATTGCCCCTGTGAATTAATTACGGGCAGGGGGTCGAAGAATTACGGCCGTAATTCGGCCCCCCCATGCCCGTAATTTTATGGCCGAGCCCTTTTTCCTCTTCTAGCTTAATTACGGGCAGGGGATCGAAGAAATACGACCGTAATTTGGCCCCTCTTGCCCATAATTTCATCGCCGAGGCCCTTTTCTCCAGTTTTTTTTTTAGCTGCAATTTCGAACAACCAAACCCAAACGTGCCCCGGCTCGAAAAAGGACACCACCATAGACAAAAACAGACCATCCGGGGCACGAGAAACATTCCAAAAAGACTCCAGACAGACTCAATGACTCGAAAACGACAAAAATTAAATTAAAAAAAAGGGAAAAAGATAGAAATGCAAACCGAGGTGGGGTTGCCTCCCCACAAGCGCTTCTTTACCGTCTTTTAGCTGGACGCCAGTAGAGGAACTAAGGGTCCTCGAGCTTGATCAGCAGCTCTGCGCGCTCGACAGCACCTCCCAAATACAACTTTAGGAGGTGGCCATTCACCTTGAATGGCTCGGTTTGAGCATTGCTGATCTCCACCGCATCGTGCGGGAAAACTTGCGTGACCGTGAAGGGTCCCGACCACCTCGAACGGAGCTTGCCCGGGAAGAGTTTCAGGCGTGCATTGAAAAGCAGAACACGATCACCTACCTGAAACTCTTTCGGGCCCCTCAACCGAGCGTCGTGGAGACGCTTGGTGCGCTCCTTGTAGAGCAGGGTGTTCTCGTAGGCGTGGTAACGCCACTCCTCCAACTCCAGCAGCTGCAACTTACGTTCTGTGCCTGCAACACTCAAATCAAGGTTTAGCAGCTTAATGGCCCAGAAGGCCTTGTGCTCTAACTCTACCGGCAAATGGCACGCCTTCCCATAGACAAGCCTATAGGGAGAAGTGCCAATCGGATTTTTATAGGCAGTCCTATACGCCCAAAGAGCATCATCGAGCTTGGTGGACCAATCCTTGTGAGACTGATCCACCGTCTTTTCAATAATTCGTTTTAGCTCCCGGTTCGTCAGCTCGGCCTGCCCATTTGACTGGGGATGGAAGGCCACCGAGACCTGATGCTTAACACCATAGCGAGAGAGGAGTTTAGTGAATTTAACTTGAAAATGGGTTCCTCTATCACTAATGATGGCGCGGGGTGTCCCGAACCGGGAGAACAGCTGCTTCAGAAATGAGCAGACCCGTCTTGCATCATTGGTGGGCATGGCTTGAGCTTCTGCCCACCTCGAGACGTAGTCTACTGCAACCAATATGTACAGATTGTCAAAAGATGGAGGGAATGGGCCCATGAAATCGATACCCCAAACATCAAAAACTTGACTCGCTACGACAGAACACCTAACAATGGCCAAGTGTAACCAATGGAAGGGACTGCAGTATAGTGGCTCAAGTGATAAATATCCAATCCATGGGTCTCTAGAGTTACTATTACTCAACTTCAGTTTATTATTTAGCAAACCAGATTAAGATGAAAGAACTAAAACTACTCTAGCAAACTACAGTTAAAGTTAATCTAATTACAGGTTGGGAACGCACTTAGGTATGATTCCCCCTAGCCACTAGCCAGACTAACGATTGATGATTTCTAACTTGTTTCACTTTCATTCACAATGCGGAGAATTCTTGACTAGACCTTGAGTCTCGACTAAAGGAACAAGGCCCTCTTGAGTCAATTGCCTAGAGGGACGTATCCTTCTCTAGAAAAACTTATCAAGGCGTTCTGAACTAGACTCCCTCTATCGAAAGAGGTTCTCAATCGATAAAAAGCAGTGAATCAACCCTCGACTAAAGCAATCGATCCACTACTATCAATCTATGGTGCTCTATTGACCTAATCAGGTATTCGCTCTCATAGGATCAAAGCAGAATCAATAATCTCGACTAAAGCAGAATTGAATCATGAAAACATGCATAGATTGAATATGAACTCAAGGTTATCAAGTCAGAGTACTCATACAATCATCCAATCAAACAAACATAGCTAGGGTTCCTCAAAACCTAAGTGAAGGGAAGTTACTCCATAGAGAAGAGAGAGACTGCAGAAATCTGATCTAGATCTTCAATCTCCATCTCCAAGCTTGATTCCCGAGCTCCAATGGCGAAGAAATCCTCCAAAATAGCTCCAAGAATGTTCCCAAGTCGCTCTCTCTCTCTAGGGTTCGTCCCTTGGGTGTTTGGGAACCAAAACCCAGCTCCCCCTTTCCTTTGGCTCGAATCTGCCTAAAAAACCCGATTCTGGGCGAATTACGGGCTAAATTACGGTCGTAATTCTTCCATGCCCGTATTTTGGCCAAAACACGCGTTTTGGTTAAGTTTCAGCGCACCCAAAGCTCCTCTCGGCAGTGAAAATACGGGCATGGGAGGTGAAAATACGGCGTAATTCTCCTGCCCGTAATTCTTCCTCCGCTCCTGTTCAAAGCTTCGTTTCTCCCTCGTCCGGACTCCAAATCAGTCGCCGTTTGAATCCACACGCTCGTAGTCTCGTCATCTTTCTTTTCATAACAAACTTCCATGATAATTTGTCCATAATATGAGGTAGAAATCCATTATTCCTCAGGTCATGCTCGTGTTTCTTCTCCCTAATTGTCAAATGATCTCCGATTGACTTGAAACTTGCACCTACGCTTCATTTTATGTGCTAGGGCCTGAAATGTGACAAAGGAACACAACCTAGCGTAAAATAGGCCAAATAAGCAATAATGCAAGCTTAAACGATCAAGAAACAAAGGGGAAAACATGTGCAAATATCGAGTCATCAGACTCCATCTCTGACCAAGGAACCTGTGTTTCCACGTACCTTTCACTTCTTTTGCTATTAAATCAAGAATTAGCAGCAAAAAAATGGTGTCTATCCCAGTCTACTATGTCAAGTCTTATTCTCTGAGGATACTGAGTCTCCACGATCTGGGAAGACAGTAGCAGCAAAAAAATTGAACAACAGTTCACCGTAGGAAACAAAGCAGTGACAAGAGCTCTAAACTAGTTGCGAAAGTGACGCGATTGTCGATCTGATTAGCTGCCCATTCCATCACTGTCCATAGCCGAAAACATGGGTTTGGTTAATTCGTCGTCTTCACTTGCGATAAGAATCAACTGGGATGAGCGGATGGGTAGGAGATGAAACGAAGAGTTATCGAGTCATGGGTTATTATGTAAAGAACCAGCATACATAGGTCGACTGATTCAGTCATCAGGTCGACCGGGATGTACCAAGTGTGTTCAAGTTCAAGAGACGCAATCAATCGTCTCCATCATCAGGTTGTTCAGAGAGAGTCAATCGTCTACAATCAACCCCGTCCGAGATGTTATTTATCTCGAGTTTTGTGGTTCAAGCCATCATTCTTGTTCTTCACAATTACTTCTTCAAGCTCGACATTTTTGTCATTCATGTCTTCGCTTGAGGGGGAGTGTTGCGGTTACTTAAACCGTGTTAGTATTGGGCCTTGTTGGGCCTCGTCTGATTCGTTGGATTAGGGTTTTAACCCTAAGTTTATCTATATAAGCTTAGCTATCGATTTGTGTGATAGCAAGCCGTCAAGATGTAATCCTAATAAGAGATCAGTCGTGAGCTCTTATGAGCTCACCATGAATTAGTCTTGATCAATCGATCGAGGATACCACGTAAAATCGTTGCCTCGTGTGTTGTTCCAATTTTGCATTATCAAATTCTACATGGTATCAGAGCTATAGATTCAGCTAGTCTTCCGCAAACCAGCGAAGTTCATCCCGCTGGCTTGTTCTCTTCATCAGCGACGTTTATTCAGCTGAGCATAGTCAACATACGTTGTCGTCGTCACCGGCGGCGGAGAAAGCGTTGTCACCAGCGCTGTAATCAAGTTCGTGTCACCACGCCGGAAAGGGAAACGAGCCATGACCAGCATAGTGATGCCACCGATGTTGTCGTCCTTAGCCTCATTGACCTGCCCATGTCTCCGCTTTTGAAAGAGCGACGGCGAAGTCCTTCTCGCCCTCGCATCTTGCCGCTTTGTATCAAGGAGAGCCGATGTCCACTCCGACCTCCGACCTCGTATTGTTGTCGTCACCAACATGACGAGATTTTTAGATTAACCGTCGACATCTCGATCGTGATCGTCCTCTACGCCATCGTCACCAGATCACGGCGCCACTTTGGTCACCACCTCTGGCGCCATCAGACCCGGCAAACGACGGGATGCATCGGCTTGGATCGTCGTCTGCCTCCCGCCGTCGTTGAATCATCATCGTTGTTAGCGTTAGGTGATACTGCTCAAATCCAGGTCGCCAACCATCACCATCGACGATGGAGCCATTAAACAGGGTCGCCATTGCTCCATCTCCGAGCTCCCGCCAATGCTCCATCGACGCCGCTGATAGCTTCGCCATAGAAGAGATGATGCGGATGTTGAGGTGGGCACATTAGGGAGAAGGGTTTCCCCAAATGGCCCAACATCAATCTAAGAGACGGAAGGGTTTTCTCCTTTTGGGCTCTCCCAACTAACTGGGCCTCCTCAAATCTCTTTTCAACTTCAAGTGCGGCTGAATTGGCCCTTGTGGGCTTCTGTGTTGGTAAGGGTTTATTAATGAGTCCTTTCAATTAGAGTTTTGGGCCAACCATTTCATTTTGCAGGCTTTCCCCATCAAATATAGTCAAGTATCGTCGATTGAGGCATTCATGTTCCATAAAATGGTCGTCCCCTGGCGTTCAAAAAGTAGTACGATAAAAAAAAAGTAATCGTCCCTTCATCGTCCAGCTGGCATTCACGACCCAAAAAAATGGTAGTCCCCTCTTTAGAGTCATTATTGGGCACTTATCAACTAATGAGCACTCTTCAAGCCTGGCATTCACAATGTTCATGCTTCGTCCTGTCCCTAAGGCTTTCCCCATCAAAAAGTTCACAGGAAAGTTGGACCTGGTGGCAGAGCCTCCAGAATTACGGTAACCAACTTACTTAGATCAATTTACTTCGGTAATTTAATAATGCAATATACTACGACTATTCTCAAAATAACAACAGGCATAGATAATAATAAATGACACCGAGGATTTACGTGGTATACCCTGATTTTGGGCCAGTCCACGGGAACAACAGCTCCTGAGTATTTCTTTACTATAACAATGGTAGGTTACAGAGATTTTCTCGATACAAGAAATAGAACACACGGTGTTTCCCAAACAACCTCACTATTTCACTCACAAGGAAATCTCCTATCTACCCGTGGTAGTGAAAACATTTCACTACCAAAACCCCACAAAAGAAATACGACTAGAAGCAGAGCAAAGGAAATGGAGAAGGATGGAATGGTGAGGGATGATTCTGAAAGGGAGAACAACGTTCCCTTTTATAGCAGAGGAAATGGGGAACCAATTGATTGCAATTGGTTGGATCTATCTGCTATCCATCTCCCCAACTGCATTTTAGTGATTAGTAAATTAAGTTTTTTTTCTTTTTCTTAATTTCCACCTCCAGAGAAAGGTCGGAAAGTTCTTCAGAAAACACATAAAAAACTCCTTTACTACCTCTACATCTTCAACCCTATGCTCATTAACAACATCACTTGATCGAAGGCTTCACATTGTTCCTTCACCAGTTGAACAACTATCACGACAAAAACTAAACATTTAGTTTTGTTTCTCCTAATGCCTTTGAATACACACCACGCTTTTGTATAACCTCTTTCTTTTCTAAATTCACACGCTCCATGTGTTGCCAAAAAATATGTTCCAAAGATGGCATCCAATTCATCACAAGGTAGCATGATCAATTATGCTAATAGAAAAAGTTCTTCCACACAGACGAAAGAACTCCTAATTATTCAATCCAATTTCAAAGCATCTTCCAGAGATGTTTTGACACATAAGGTATAACCCAGCCTATTTGGTACTAAGTGCAAACAATACAACATAATTAATCATGACATAAAGCCTCAACGTTCCCTATGCTCTAGCACCATGTTTACCTATTTTCAATGTCTAGTTTTGACCACCATTCAGGGGCGGAGCTACGGGGGGCTTCCGAGGGGCGCCCCACTACCTCTTCTAATATTAGTAAAAGTGGGCGTAATAGTGATACAATGTATTGAGTGTTTTCTAGTGGTAGAGGTGCCGACCTACCTTTCTGAAGACCCAGGTTTGAATATGTCCTTCAACAAATTATATTTTTATTTTTGCTATTTTCATAACCCTAACACTTGCTTTCTTCTCTTTCTTGTGTTGGTTAACTTGTCATTTTCATATTGAACTAAAGCAACAATAATGCTTTGATTGTATAATTATTTTTTTACAATAATATTAATAGATATTCATGTTTTATTTGTGAAAATATGAAAAAGTATGTTACATATTGAAATGCACTATTAAGTTTTGTTGGTAGTTTAATTGCTCTTTTCATATGGATATAACTGTTTAAATCATGTTAACTTTCATATTTTCTTTTACCAGTCCCATATTTTTAAACAACTTATTCAAAGTTAAATTATTATGTTTAAGGGTTTTTTGGTTATACAATAAATTGCATTTCAAACGATAATATTGATGGGTGTTCATTTTTCATTAATGAAAACATTTAAAATTGTATTACATATTGAAATTCATAATTAACTTTTTTCCCAATAATTTACTCATTTGTTTTGAACATACCATGTAGTAATTATAGTTTAAATCATTTTGATTATCTAAAATTATCTATTGTGTCATTATAATTATAAAAATATTAAAACTCTATAACATTTTTTTCGTGATGATAAACTAAGTAACTCCGGTCTTCCCCCGAGACTCAAATCCTAACTCCGCCTCTGCCACCACTTCTATCATCATGTGAACCACCAGCGCCGCGACCACTCAATGTCACATCGTGGTCTCTTTGATAATTCCTCTTGATTGGGGCTCTACTGAATTGCGCGAAAGGTTCGCACCGGATAGTTTGTTAGTCTTAGCCTTGATAAAAGCTCCAAAAAGAAACTCTGTCCGATTCGCTTGATCGATATTTGGATTTTCACTGAAATTACATCGAAACAATCAATTGTATTCGCGTATATTTTTAGTGACCAATTTGCTAGTTTAATCGGAATCGGATGTCACAGTTTGTGTGACTAATTTTGTTTCGCTATTTATCGATTATAGGTATTGGAACTTGCGGGAAACTCAATTGAGGGATAACAGGAAGTATCAGATTGTTCCGAGGCACATCCAATTGGCGATGAGGAGCTCAACAAATTTCTCGGACTCGGATCGGTGACTCGAAGAAGTGGATCTGCTTCTCAGGAGTTCTGAGCATCTACTAAGCTCTAATCAAAATCATTTCTGTTATTTTTTGGTTTCTATGTTTGCGGATGGATTTTAATCGAACAACTGTGTAATGTATTCCGAGTTGGATGTTAATGAGGAAGGGTGCTTTCTATTGCGTCGATGCATACCCCTACTGATTGCCCATCTGCCATGGCTTCCACTAGTCGTTCTCTAGCTTGTTGATGGCTGTGAAGTATGAATATGGTGTTGAGTGCTGCCCATTTGATTTGAAACTCTACTTTGCTTTCCTCCATTTCTAGCCACTTGATTGTGTTGTGGAGCTGTAAGAAGAAGAGTGGATGATTTAAGTTTTGGAGGCATCAGAATCACAGCCAGAGACAATTGTTCATCTTTGGAGCTTTTTAATAACCTTTTGGAGATCCGTAAGGTGGCCTTGTGAATATCCAAAGGCAAGGTACTCCGCAACCAATCCGCCTAGCATTACGCAAGAGAATGCGTTCAGAGTCTGCAAGCAAAACGATTGACACGATTACTACTTTTGATGAGGAAGAGATTTGGAATTTTGGGGGTTCTCTTTTCACCTTTGATGAAACCCTCCTGTTCACCATAGCAGCAGCCGTACCCCTTCTCTTTGCTATTGGGAGGTTTCTTCGGAGGATTTCAGGACCAACCTAGCAATGGTATTATTTACTGGTGAGATTTGCTTTGCAGGGGGGGAGTGAAGGGACATATGAGGAAAGTGGCGGTTTCGGGGTTAATTTACTCCTGTCAGGAAGCCGAACCCTGGGAACTCGATTTTCGATTTGACAAAGACCTCATTCTGCCTCAGATCTTCCACGCTTGGGACTTGGTAATTCTGTGGTAGAACTCCGATTAGGTAGCCGACTAGGAAATGGCCAGCTTCATGCTGCAAAACAGAGACTGCACATTTTTTACAAGGTGAAGTGAAATAGAAAGACGTTGTTGCCTCAAAAGTTGTGTAGATCCATCTTTTACTTGCAGGCACAACAAATGGACGTCTTCACAACTCCTTGGGCCCCTGGCTTCAACCTGACAACGATGGGACAAAAAGTGAGAAAAGAGTGTTGTTTGAGTTAGCCATCAATAGGTATATGATCCATGATTGAATCTCTCCCAACAACTCGAATTATTGGAGCCAAGTGGTTAATTCGTTGACATGGTATTAGAGTCTTTTGTGACTGAGAGATCTTGTGTTATCTGTGCAAACTTTAAACCCTTGTGAGTGTTTTTCGTTTGAGGGAGCGTGTTAGTGTGTGGTATATGATCCACGATTGAACGTCTCCCAACAACTCGAGTTATTGGGATCAACTGGTTCTTGACAATACTAAAATTAGTATGGTATGAAATCGTATTCCTGACCTCTTGTATCAATTTCAACTGGGCAGGGTCGTGCATTGCATCCAGAACAGAGTCCACCAGAGCTTCAACGGACGATCTCTCTAACCCGTCGAATTGCAGCCCATCAAATGCTGATGATTCCATTGGAACCTATAACCACCCAGTTCATACAATTACAATGTACTCATCAAAAGTCACAAACTGGAAGTGGGCAAGAAGAAAGTTGCAATCTTAGAAGACCTGTTTGGCGGTGCCGAATCCCCGCAATAGGCTCTGTTTTTGTAGTTGTTTGGCTTGCAATTGCTTGACCACAGAGAGGGCGGTTCCATAGTTCCGCCTCAACAGCTCTCTGTCGACCCTTTTCAGGGCTCTACGTCGCCGTTCCGAGAAGTCCGACCGACTTCTGCTGGTCGCCGGAGATTCTATCAGCAGCTCACTCGCGGCATTAGCAAAGCTCATTGCGGGCGGGTAATTAAATGGATATGGCAGAGCAGCAAGTGGATGGATGGATGGATGGCAAGGAGGAGAGAGAGAGACTATTGTATTAATCCTCTCGTGGTGTGGCTGATAGCTATATGTATGCAGCGGCTGAATCTGATTCGACCGTTTCGATTCAATGTTGTCGTTATCTATCTTCCATTCTTTTCTTGAGAATCGTTATCTTCACTTCTTTGAAGAACAACAAATGGCAAAGGAGACAACGATGTCGTTTGAAGGATTTAGATTTTCCAGTTCAATCAAATAAGCGCGGCTGATAGAAAGAACCGGAGATTCAGCAATGCGGGCCAGGAAATCAGTTGAGCCGTTTGTTTGTTATATTAGAGCATCTCCGATGGTGCAAATGGAGGGAATTGCAAGTTGAGGAGGCAGCCATGTGCAATTGAAAAAGTGGATGGCATTGATGTAAGACTACTTTCAAGGGATGAAAATTTGCACACCATGAAAATCTGACATGCAATTGCAAGTGGGTCCTTTGTTTGTTTTTGTTTTTCTTTCTTCTTTTCCCAACCATTTGTGTGGTATTCAAATGTAAGTTGGACCCAAAAGTGCAATTGCATTGGAATGGCATTGATGTAGCTAGTATGAAATTGATGAGTGAAGTAATTGCTAGAGTTGCTTAGGTGGCAGTAGGGACCACACTTGAAAATGAAGAAGGATTGCATTGTTGGAGATGCTCTTATGTTTCAACGTCTGTTTTCGTAACTGGACCGGATACTGAACTATAAATGTTAGTGGTTTAGAGTTCAGTAGTTAACCGTTGATTGAACCATTCATGATATAAAAACATACAATATTTGTATAATACACTAATTTAAGAATGAAACTATTATTGACCATAATTTCAAATTCATATCATCACCAAAATATCTAACAAATTATTTAAATCGTCACAAAAGAAATCATAATTTTTTTTAATTCAACTTAAAAATTATGGTGCCAGTTAGTAGCGGACCATGTAAAGTTGACAATGAGGTTGGAAAATGAGAGTAGGAAGCATAAATAAAATTAATAATTCTACTTTGATGGTCTTAGTTTCTGTTATTGTATTTTTTATAAAAAAAATTGTCAACAAAATAATGAACCAGTTAAACCGTGATGGTCCATCAATAACCGTCCAACCAATGAATCGAATCGCTACCATAACAGGTTTGAGGATTCTACTGGTTCATCCATTACTCTGATTCGGTCATTATAAGAAGGGTTTCACCATGAGTGGTCATCAACTGGTTCTTCGCAGTCCCTCTCACCGCAGATTCTGGTCAACGATGATATTGTTGTTGAAAATAAAGTTTAATAATAAACAGAAATATCAGAAAGTCAGGAACTCCTATAAAGTAAATGTGCATTGTGAAAGCATGTAGAAGTGAATTTATTAGGTTGGCCAGAAATTCTAGGCGGTTCAACTGCAACATTTAATGAGCTGCTGATTTTTTGTTATTGTGCAATGTTGTCAACCCGATTTAGCTACGCTTATTTAAGTAAGTGAGTGAAGAATTAATTGTCAAATTGGGGGTTAGCCTGTTTTGTACACAATTTAAAACACATAAAATATAATATAATGAATGCTAAATTTGATAACTGATTTGTAATTTAAGTTCAAGTACCTTATAAATTATAATAATTTACTCTTAACATATATATATATATATATACTAGTTTTACTCGACCATTGGTTGGATCATTTTTATTTTATTTCAAATAATTTATTTTTATCAATATGTTTATATTTTAAATGATCTGAGACCTATAAATTTATATAATTTATGCATGATTTGAAAGTAATATTTGTAGTACATGTTGTTTGTGATATTATTAAATTGATTTATAGGTTCTTGTGAAATTACGTTGTCTCATATTGAACTACTATCTATATATTTTTTCACATTTTAAAATAAAATGTCGTCCTTTTTCATGTTGTCATACATGATAAAAGGTGTATTTATTAATAATATTTGTCATTATTAACTTGATTTTCTGTTCAACGCGAATGAAACTAAGACAATATGCATTGAACACCACATTAGAAACTCTAAAGGATCAGCCTACGGTTAATTGAAAGGATATTTGTGTGTTCGAACTTATCACGAGGAATTTTTTTAATCACGAAGAAAACCACATTATTCCTATGCATGAATTGCCTTTGCCTGACCCGTTGGTCGGTGAATTTTAATTTTAAATTTTATTTTATTGATGTTAACCAATTCGTTGATATTCTCAAATAATTTTGGAATTTTGTAAATAATTTATCGACAATTTAAACAAAATTGTGTTACATTGTTGATTGTGATACTTAGTTCATATATGTTTTTTTTATTAGGCCATCCTTACATTAATGTTGTCTGTATTTTTATTTCCAAGTTTCATAAAATTTTGCATTTCTTAATGTCGTTAGAAATTGCTTAAAAGATATTTCTTTGTAATATTTTTCATTACTAAGTTGCTTTGTACAACCACCACCCAAAAAAATCCCAAGCAACATCCAATCCAATATCGAAACCATCGCTAGTTGGAAGAGGTACAACAACCATACAACAATCATGAAATAGTCATTAATCTACTCAATCAGTCGAAAATTTTAGGTAGCGCGAGTATTCAAAGTTAAGCATTGAAATACTTTCAAGTCGAGAAAGATGAGAAATAAGTGTTCCCAAAAGCATTCCCACTAGCAACCCTACTACCGGTATCCTTTTACTCGTCGACAATTCTTAAATATACAGGCTCTCGCAAAACCTAACTTGTGAATCTTACAATTCCCAACACCGTAACTGTTATTCCCAATAGCGGTATGTCGGAACTTCAAACAGTAGTTAATGAGGCAATCTAATTAAACAAAACTAACAAAAGAAATCAGTACCCCAAAATGTCTATATAGAAAAAAAGATTGACTAATTTTCTAAATTTGGTCCAACCCTCTTGCATCTTGTATCAACTACGGGATCTTCCGAGAAAAGTACCAGTCATTGCATCTTTGGGGCACTAGAAGTGTCTTGAGAAGTACTTGAAACATATCTCTTCTTCGCTTTATACCTCTCTCTGAGTTGATATTGTCCCCTTTTTAGCATGGTAGCTCCCTCTTATCTTTTCCCTCACATGCATCAAACCTTGGTTATATAACAACTTCATTACCCATTGTCCTCCCCATGAAAACAACAATAATTGCAACTATACAAATAAAATGGAGAACTTGAATCAAACATTTCCATTGCGATGATGTCGAGTCTTCATTATGGTTCTTGTTTGAACCTAACTGAGTGTAGGAGTGAGGTTCACAAGAACGGGTCGAGAAGAGTGAATGACTTGGTTAAACGAGAACTTTGAGACAAATGGAAGGAAGAATAGAGTTGAGAGAGTGTTTTTAGTGAGAGAAGTACGTTCTTTCTAGAGATAGAGTGTGATCCTCCAAAAATCCGATCCCCTCACCCACCGGAGTAAATGTCGTATTTATAGGCTACATGGTGGTGGGTGAGTTACATGACGGTACGATGATGTGACCACTACGGTATGGTGACATGACCACTGACATGTCAGGGACATAGACCATCTCCCTATGGGTGACAAGACCTTTAGCCATGACTATACCTAGGACTATGATGGTGACTACCCTTTGGGTGACGCGGCGCCGCTTCTACGACTTCTCGGCAAGGGCCCACGCTTGTCCAAAGCGCCGTCGTTTAGCGTCCATGCGCGGTCTCTGGGGGCGGTCTTTACGCTCGCGCTTGGCTCCGGCGTGACTCGCGCGTTTGACTTTGGCGTGAGCATCCTTGGGTATTTCTTCGGCGTGGTGAGATCCGAGTCACATCCCCAACAATTGCCTCCCATCAGGGGGTATTCCGCGACTGCCGCCTGTTTGATCTTCATGTGAGCGACTCGGATCTGTGCGATTCTGCCTGTTTCCGCGTTGTTGATTATGATTGGCGCGATCTGGGTAAGTTAGTACCTGTTTTGGTCTCCGCATGATCTTCGGTGGCGCGCACAGCTGGTGCGTCATTTGCACGATTCTCGTCCGCTCGAGATCTCCGGGGTTGGTTGTGCGCGCCGTTTTTACATTGCCCCCCATTAGTGATATTCCGCGAGTGGCTGAGATCTCCGGGGTTGGTTGTGCGTGACGCTTTCTTAGTTGGGATTGGTTTTGAGCGTGTTTTTCCTCCTTCGTGGGCGTATCCTGCCCCCCAGGCGCTGTGCAGAACCTATGACGTCAGCGGCTAGTGCCTATGTTGAGTAGGTTGCCACGTGTCTGTGGACGGTTGGTCAGTTTTGGCGGCCGTTTTGAAATTTGAAAAGGCTCTGACAGTTGCGATTCTCGATGTAACTTTAACCCTTCGGCTTTCCATTGTCGAGTATAAATACCTCCTCTCTGTCGAGAAGTTGGAACCCACTTTGCTTACCGTGAAAGAAAATTTTCGTTTTTTCTTTGTACTTTCTTGCCGTCTCTGGGATTCCTCTCCTTCTTCTACAACCTCGATTCTCACCTTGCTGTTGCTGACTCGAAGTATTACCATGGATAGCACCAACATCAACGAGACCGAGGTCGTGCAGGGCGAAGAAGGTAATCCCTCTTCTTTTTCACGTGTTTCTACCGATCCTTCGCTGGATCTGGACGATTCTGGGCACGGGGACGACGGCGGAGCCGACGGTGGCGATGCAGTTTGCGGCGCCGCCGTCGCTCGACGTCGATGCAGGCAGGGGCCCCGATGAGGGGATGATTGCGTCTGGGAGTGGGCAGGCGGGTGTTGGCGCGCTCGGGGTCTTGATTATTCGGCGGCCTCGCGGCAGTGCATCTGGGGTGGCTGATTTGGAGAGGCGCGAAGGGTCTGATACCCAGTCGGAGCCGCGCTGCACCGCGCGTGTAACTGAAGCGATGAGCCGATTAGGCTTCCGTGGTGAGGGCGCAGCTTACAACGTCATTGACTGGGCGGAGATGTGGGGCGATCAGCCCGCACCCAGTGACAACCTTCTCAGGGGGCCCGATCACGCATCTATTTACGGGTACCATGACGTTATGGATATAGTGAGTGGGTTAGGTTTGCCCCCCAATTGGGAGTACGCGGTTCCATCCGCGAGAAGTATGGTTGGAAACTGTCCCGCGGGCTGGTTTGGGGTGTACACAGAGTATTGGGTGATGG